GAGAGAGAGAGAGAGAGAGAGAGAGAGAGAGAGAGAGAGAGAGAGAGAGAGAGAGAGAGAGAGAGAGAGAGAGACAGAAATTGGCATCCATGTGGTAGCTCCATTCATCAGCGCTACGAAACCAAGCACATAGGAGCAGGATCTGCTTCTGTAGATATCATTGTCACAAATCTCGGGGAAGTTAAAAGAGTAAGAGCAGCCTGGTGAACACAGAAGAATGATTCCTGGGATGAACAGTGGCGTCAGACGTCGCAGTAACACAAACAGGGGGAGCAATAACTAGCAGCAGCTTGAGTGAAATGCAGCGGGCACTCTGCATAGATCACACTGTTGATACAGCAAGGCACGGGCTTCCATAGACGCCAACTAGAGTTGACAGACATATCAGGTTCAATTACAAAACAGAGTAAGTGTGCATCCTATGCCACCTGGTGTTTCACTCACCTTCTGGGACCAGAAACCAAGCATCACCAAACGTGGTTTTGCCATTGTAACCCCCAAAGAGAAGGAATCGATTACCGATGGCAGTCATTGTATGATATGCCCTTGCAGGAGGGGGCTCATTGCTAATGTTTGGTCTCTTCCACTGCACACCACTTGCTGCACCAAAGACAAGTGAAACAATTAGAGATGCACCTGGTGCTTTCCACATCAACATCACATGGTAACCTCTGCTCTGAAACCACCAGGAATACAAAATATGCAACGAGTCCACGATTCACATTGCTAATGTTTGGTCTCTTCCACTGTACACTTGCTGCACCAAAAGTGAAACAATTAGAGATCAACATGGTGCTTTCCACATCAACATTACACGGTGACCTCTGCTCTGAAGCCACCAAGAATACAAAAGATGCAATGAGCCCACCATTCACACAGCATCTCTACACGCACTGATGTCACATTGCATCACACTAAGGCTCACACAAGAGAGAGAAACCAACACGAGATACAAGAACTTGCGAAGTTGTCTGGAATTCAATATCTCGTACAGCGAATTCTTGAAAGGATTTCACACAATTCTGCCTCCAAGTCCCACTCAGAATCCCAAGGTCCCATCTCTCATGTAACATAATCCAACCGGTAAGCCCTTGGGTCAAATCGCCACTGTATGGTCCAGTTCATCACTAAACTTCGGTGGGCTGTAGGAAACCAGTCCCCAACAGGCTAGGGACAGGTGTCGGGCGGCCGAAGTCAGTTGGCCACCCGAAATGGGACAATTTCCAGCTTAGATTAGTCAATTGGTAGGGTTTGAAGGGTTGGTGTTAAACCACCAGTACCTACCTGTTGTTAAGGCCCGTGGCTCAGCCAACCGGTATCCCGAACCTTGCCGAGCCTCAAGCTACCGGTAGGTACACATAAAAAAAAAAAAAAAAAAAAAACACACACACAAAAAAAAAAAAAGACAATTCTTCTGCCCCCGCCCAAAAAAAAAGAAATTGAAAAACAAAGGAGCCAGAGAGCGAGAGAGAGAGAGTCGGCGCCTCTCTCTCTCTCTCTCTCTCACTCTCTCTCTCTGTGGCAGCCGGTTCGAATGTGCAAAACGGGAATGAATTCTCCCGTGCTGTCAGGAAGATTCATTCCCGTTTGCTAATTCGAATCTCACACACACACACACACACACACACACACACACACACACACACACACAGAGAGAGAGAGAGAGAGAGAGAGAGAGAGAGAGAGAGAGAGAGNAGAGAGAGAGAGAGAGAGAGACAGCGAAATTGGCTGTGCCAGGCGAGTTTGACGCCGACTCTCTCTCTCTCTCTCTCTGAGATTCGAAGTAGCAAACGGGAATGAATCTTCCCGACAGCACGGGGAAATTCATTCCCGTTTTGCACATTCCAACCGTGCGGCCAAAGAGAGAGAGAGAGAGAGAGAGAGAGAGAGAGAGAGAGAGAGAGAGAGAGAGAGAGAGAGAGTCGACGTCAAACTCACCTGGCGCAGCCAATTTCGCCGTCTCTCTCTCTCTCTGGCCGCACGGTTCGGAGCTTCAAAACGGGAACAAATTTTCCCGTGGCTGGGAAACTCTCTCTCTCTCTCTCTCTCTCTCTCTCTCTCTGGCCCCCCACGTTAAGTCACGGTGTTTTCGTTTTCTATTCTTTCAATTTTTTTGGGGGGGGGCGAAATTGCACCGACCGGGCGTTAGAGCTACCGACCCCCGAAAGTCGTGGCGCGTTAACGGCCGCGACTTTTTTTTATAGCTGGGCGAGGTACTGGTGGTTTAAAGAATGAGCAGTAAAAAAACGGGGCACCTCGGTGGACCCCTGTTTTTTGCCTCATCATTCTTTGACACTAGACCTACAATTATGTCACTGGCTTTATTATTTTTTTCCTACCCCTGAAGCGCCTATTATGCGGATATTTTTCCCTTACTCTCGTCTTCTGATACTTAGTCGCGAACGCGTATGTGGGCTTCCACGCATACGATTTTGTTGACCAAACTGATGATGAAAAATTATTTATTTATTATGGTACTATTAAAATTCGGGAATAAATTAAACAAGGATGAAAAAGCACCTAGTCCACATGACTTTCGCCGTTACTTCGATTTTGTGTCCAATGATATTTTCCTGCTCCTATAATCCTGATTTTGCCTATTTTACTAGCCCCATCACAACACCTGTGTTTGCTGTGCGTTTTATATTTGTGAGCCTGCTGAGTGCTACGCGGGGTTTACCGTTTCAGGGTTTGCTGCTTGAAGTCAAGTGCGGACCGCTGAACTGGGGCCTGGTCCGTGTGGTTTGAACAAAGGTTAAGTCCTGCAATAGGGGACCACCAGACTGAAACCAGTACCCCAAGCTCTACAGGAACAGTGGCTATATCAGGCCTCCATCTGCACCGCAAGTGCCGTTATTAGTCCTGTTAATGGTACTATTCGCACCGGAGCAGGTCTGATCACCAGGCCTGGATCTGTAGTCCAGGCCTCCAATGGGTACTAGGTCAGCAGCGGGTGACCGTTCCCTTTCGGGTCCAGGCCTGGCTGTGGCTGTGCCAGCCCAGCTGGCGCACTTGGGGGAGCTGCTTGCTGGCAGATATACAAGCCAGGGTTTGACGTTGTGAGCGACAGTTCGCCTGGGGCCAATGACCGCGTTCAAGATGAACACCGTGATCATGGCGTACACCGCCCACGGGGAAGAGATGTGGAGGAGCGACCACGAAGGAGATGCAAGGAGGAAAGAAGCAAGCATGGGGGAGATGACTGCGAACAATGTGTACACTGCTCACGGGCAAGAGAGGTGGAGAAGCGACCACAAAGGAGATGTGAGGAGGGAAGAGAAGCATGGGGGAGATGACGGCGAACGTATACACCGCCCACGGACAAACATACATGGTGGAAGAAGGGGCATTCAGGGACCGTGTACCAGGAGGGGTGCGCAGCACACAGGGACTGGCACATGGACTGTCCTTGGTTCGTGTCCATTTCTGTGAGCAAGCAGGCTGCAGTCGTGGAGGACATGCATGCTGCAGCTAAGAAAAGAGATGGCGACCTCCTCATTTGTGGAGTGGTGAGTGAGTGTGTGAGTGTGTGATCCCGCTCGTGCCCATTCCTGACAGCTTTTGAACTGCAGTCAGCACGGGCGTGCAAGCTGCTGGGAGGAATGAGACAGCGCACACACCCATTCGGGACTGAGTGGGTGAGTGGGAGAGACTGTGAGAGAAAGGGAGAGAGAGTGAGGGAGTTATCAGACAGTGCGGAGGGTGGTATGTGTGAGAGAAGAGAAGACGGTGAATACTCGTTATTTTTATTATTATTATTATTTATTTACATTATTATTATTGTTTTTGTATCTACCCTTCAACACGGCCAAAAACATCTCAGACGCTGATAGTGAAAATCTCCTGGCTGGGCGCGCTGGAAAGTTGATGCAAGATTGGGAGCGTGTGTGTGTGTGTGTGTGTGTGTGTGTGTGTGTGAGAGAGAGAGAGAGAGAGAGAGAGAGAGAGAGAGAGAGAGAGAGAGAGAGAGAGAAAGGCAGCAGGGGCGAGCGTAAGCGAAGGAGAGAGGGAATGAGACGGTAAGAGATCGAGATGCCACCCGCTGCCAGTGATTTTGAATTGGAGCTGGTGCACCTGCCCGTGGTCGAGACAGTGAGAGAGGGAAATGTGAGAAATAGGAGGGGAGCGAGAACACGGTTTAGTCCGTATGTGTGCGCATGTGTAAGAGAGAGAGAGGTGAGAGCATTAGTGTGAGAGAGAGTGAGTGAGAGGGTGCGAACGTGTGCGAAAGAGAGACAGAGTAGTGAGTGAGAGAGAGAGAAAGGCCTGTTTCATAGCATGTGAAGGTGTGAGAGAGGGACGAATTAGTGTGTACGTGTGCAGATATGTGCCCGCAGGAGTGTGAGAGAGTGTTTGTGCGGGGTGCGTTGAATAGAAGAGAGAGAGTGAGTCAGTTAGCATGTGTGTGCAGGCCAACCCTTCATTTCACCTTACTTCATCCCGCGAACCCCAAACCACTCTCAGCTCAACAATTCTCAACTTAACCATTTGTCTACTCCCCTCGTAGCCAAACAGGACCCTTAGACCATTCAAGGACTTTCAGGTGGAAAAACCAGGGGGATGTCTTTTGCCGGCAGGGTTCGACCTTGGGTGTGGGTGTCAGGAAGGGGAAGGTTGAGTGGGCAGACCAACCTGTTATCAAACGATAACACAAGATTACGGTTCTCAGTAAACCGTTCGAAGTGTCTCGCACACCTCTGACTAATCAACGACCTGGGTTACATGCACAGACAAAAACCCATTCCCACATTCAAGGTCAACGGAGAATACCTCCGTCTCATGGTCCGGCCTCACTTCCTAATCCATTCTACCTCCTATCTTAGTCGACACCAAAGAATGGCAAATATTTTGAGAACGTCTCCCCTAAGAGGGGGGCTCCCAAAATTTTACTAACTCTAACCTTGAACAAATTCTGCATACTCAAGGCCTACTTATAGATTCTGACTAACCTTCCGATTTAGTAAAAAGTTGGGTGACGCTTCCCCTAGGAAAAAGGACTCCCAAACTTCATACTAACCCAGATTCAAAAGAAAACTTTCAAAGTTTGGACTGGGATAGAAATCTAACTCCCTGATCTAAGAAAAAATTTGGTAGCACTTCCGTCAGGAATGTAGCTTTCCAGATTTTTTACTAAGCCAGGAACAAGCCAGATTTCGCATTTCAATCCGAAGTCTTTACAACTTACCCATCCCACCTAGTAGCATCCTACCTAACGCTCCAACACTTCGCGAGCATCAATGCAACTATACTATCAAAAGACAGCCTAGAACAACCCATAAGAAAACATGCATTACTCGTATCAAGATAACTTAAGTTTTGTCACTTTTGTGCGTAATCTGAATTATCAATTTCTTGTCTTCTTAGTCATCCTTCTATTCTTCTTCTCAATCATCGTTTTAGTCTAAGCCAACTACGACAAACAACCCATGCAGGGGATGCATCCAACCCTTCAGACAGCAAGCCAATAAACAAGCAGTCGGACCCATCTACTCAAGAGACGCGTCTGACCCGTCAAAAAACAATCAAATAAACATATGGCCCGACCATACTTGCAGTGCACTTGGGCAGTGCGCGCGCACCATGCGCCGTGCGCAAATTGGTGATGCGCACACACACACACACACACACAGAGAGAGAGAGAGAGAGAGAGAGAGAGAGAGAGAGAGAGAGAGAGAGAGAGAGAGAGAGAGAGAGAGAGNAGAGAGAGAGAGAGAGAGAGAGAGAGAGAGAGAGAGAGAGAGAGAGAGAGAGAGAGAGAGACAACAAAGGATCCCCTAGGGCCCATGCAGGTTATCTGAAGGGTCCTCGCAGCAATTTAGCAAGAACCCTACACCAAAATCGAGGCAGGCAGTGAATACGAAGTGGAGCACGAGCTGGCTGAATATATACTCAGGATTCATATTCAGGTCTGTGTTTCAGCAGTTATGGGTTGCTCACTTCGCTAGGCCCTATTGGTCTCTGCACGTGATTCTCAGGGCTTGGCTGCAGTACTCACCAAATGTGCAGAATTAGAGTGAATCTTCTGCTAGAACGTGGAATAATACGCCGCCATATGTTTTGTCTTTTGTGCATGTGCTGAGTTGAGGCCCTTAGGGCCACTGCACATATTCCTAAGAGAACAAAAGGAAAAGGAGAAAACAAAAGAAAAACGAGACAACAGAGAAACACTGACCCATAACTGTGATGCACAGACCTCACTTCGCATCCGGACTATATATTCTTGGCCCATGCAGACAAACTGGAAGTTTAATGTCTACCTCTGCTCCACGATGCATCCTTGCTAATTTGCAGGGACCCTTCAGATATGAGACTGGAAACAATTAGGACATGCACACCCACACGCACACACATGTGCTCACAGTGTTGGGGTATGGGGTGGCCCCAACTTTTTTCCCTCTTGCAGTTTGATTTTCAGAAGCGAGGGGCATGTTTGGCCACCCCACCCTGTCCTTCAAATTTTTTTTATTTTTTTTTTTTGGTGATGCGCCACATCACGTGTGCGCGCGTGCGCGTGCGCTCTGCGCCGTATGTGCCGCGACCCCGCGCACAGGATGCGCCGCAAGTATGGGCCGGACCATTCACGCAGGGGACGAGCCTGGCTTTTCAGGAAATGAACAAGTGGTCGAACCATGTACACAAAGACTGGTGTGACCCCTCAAAAAATAAGTCCAATAAACATGCAGTTGGACCATCTACACAGGACATGTCTGGCCCTTGAGAAAAAATCAAATAAACATACGGACAGACCATCCACACTGGGGAGGCTCAGAGGGGGTTGATGCAGGTAACAGTTTCACTGCATATTTAGACATTTTGCTTTGGTATTTGGGGGCAGGGCCGCAGGGGTGTTCAGGGGTTCTGTAACTTCTGTTGGCCGATGACAGTCGACATTCATACAGGCTCATACAGGGTGATAAAGCCTTATACACCGTTCAATCGATAGCGGCTGGGAATCACAGTGACACAGACGGAAAAAGAAGACGAAAAAAAAAAAGGCAGCAGAAGACACGAGTCCACGCAATTGACGCTGCAATTGCAGAAAAGCAACACTTGTTACACTTCATTATAGTCCGACTGTCCAGTACGTCCGTGAAGTCAGCTTAAACGGATTCCACCCCAGACATGGATGACACAGACGACGAGGAGGAAGGAGAAGAAGAAGAAGAAGAAGAAGAGGAAGCAGTCAAAGAAGAAGAAGAAGAGGTTCTCTCACTCTCTCACCCGCGCTGTCTCTCAACCTCTTTATCTTTCTCTCTCTCTCTCTCTCTCTCTCTCTCTCTCTCTCTCTCTCTCTCTCTCTCTCTCTCTTTCGCTGCTGCTACTGGTGCCGGTTGATGACGACGTGTCAGTCGATGACAACGGGTCCGTCGATGAAGCTGCTGCTGCTAGACTCATCGTCCTCTTGCACTCGCGTCCTCTTCTTTTTCTTTTTCGGACGTCTTTTCGGAGACTGCAAGACTGCGGGAACTTTCTTTTGAACTCTTCGCGCCTTCGTCTTCTTCGCCTGCCGAACAACAGCATGCTTCTCTTTCAAGGTCACTGGTGGTGCGAGTGTCTTGTGTCCCTTGGCTCTTCCACCTCTTGTCGCCGGCGCCGCTGTCTCCTTCGGCTTGTTCTTCCCTCCTTTCTTTCTGCCCGCCAAACTCCTCACTTGGCGCACCTTGCTGGCATCGATTTCGGGCGGTGACACTGACACACGTCGTGCAGCAACATGTTGTGGTGGGTCAGGCCCTCCAACCTCAGCAGCTCTGGTCCTCCTCCAGTAGACCACGCCCTGTGATCCTTCCCTCGCTCAACTGTAGACCGGGTGGGGTTGGTCCAGTGAATCTGGCCCAATCAGGAGTCTGCTCCTTGAAATCAATCCGCATTGGGGACATCGCAGACAGGTGTTCACGGAAGTCCTTGTTGGAGCCGCTCGGCGCAATGGGGGGCCACGTGGTGCAAAAGGGAGGCGAACCCCTCCCCCATCCCCAACCCCTGGTCAGGAGTGGAGATCACATCGCCGCCCACAGCCTCGGTGACCTCCGCTGTTCCAGGAGGCGGGTCGTCCATGTCCGCACCGATGTCTCCGTCCGCATGCTCTGCAGTGCCACCAAAATCCGCATCAACCTCCACTGCAACATTGTCCCCGTGAACGTCCGCCAAAACCCCCGTCTGTCATCCCGCGGCCCGTGGGTGCTCGAGCACAGCTCCCCGATGAGGGGTGAGCTGTGCGCCCGAAAGTGTGCTGGTGCCATGTACTGAAGCCACACCACCTGACGTGGAGCTCCGTCATCGTGTACGCACACCGACGTCGTCCGACAACGACAACAAAGGAGCCGCCGAATGCCCGCCGGTTGCAAGGACTGTCGGTGGCGTGATGTCGTCGTGTCTAGCAGAACATGCGCCGCCGCCCGAGTGCCTGGTGGACTGAATGTCTATGAGCCGCACATCAAGTAACTCATCGTCACCCTCACTATCGTCGCTCTCCTCCTCGTCGTCATCATCAGCAACAACGCTCTTCCAGCAGGCATCGTCCGCAACACGGCGAGGGTGGTAGGAAAGATCAAGGAGCCATGCCCTGTCGTCCACCATATCCTCCAGAAGCTCGAGAACATCGAATCTGGTGCCCTTCGATCTGCGGCTGCGAGATTTGTACCAATTAGCGGCCCTCCTCTTCACCTCTGCGGGGTCGTACTCCCCGTCTCGCATGAAACCATCGAAAGGCGTCTCGTCCTCTGGTGTCTCCCACTCGAACCGCTCAGTGTTGACGAATTCCATCTTCACCCTTGACATGCGCAGCAGCTTCTTGTTCCAATGGATGAAGACTAGCATTTGCAGGTTGTCCGGGCTCAACAAATTTCTCCTCTTCATGTGAATGAGATCGAACGTGGACCAATTCCTCTCGCACGGAGAGGCTGTGGTCCACATGCTGATCACTTTGACTGCGATCTTTGTCAAGGTTGGGTGCTTCTTCCCATGCAAAACACAGCAATCATGAAAGCTTCCAGAACTAAAAAAGCTATCATGTACTCTTTCTTGTAATTTTGAAAGTCAACCACCACTGCGCCACAGACACATGCTCCTGTCAAAGCCTCCTCAAAGTTCTTGCCATGCCACTCCGGATCCATGTGATGGAAACTCTTAAGGGAGTTCCAATATTCTTTGTACTCCTTTGAATTCTTCGGGTGAACCGAGGCAAAGTGAGTCGAAGTGTTTGCCATCTCCTCAAATACATAGTCGTCAAACAGTCGAGGTGATCAGTGGAGCGGGTGCAACATCCACGCCGCTGTACGCACAAGGAGAACCATCATCCGCACACGGTCTTTCACCTTCGCCATCACGAACTCCCTTGTCTCACATTCCATGGGCAGCATCGCCATTCTCTTCTCCAAAGTGATCCCCAAAGACCACACCTGCATACCCATCCTCCCGGCTCTGTCCATGGACTTCATGAGGGCATAAACAAGCTCGGGCAAGGTACATGCCCCGTCCACGGTCAACCACCACATCGGGTCTCGTGTAAGCTCCTTGCACGATCGAAGCCCGTGTCACTGCGGTCCGATTCCATGGAGAGTCATCCCACCGCGGGTTGGAAACAGTCGCTAGCAACACCCCCTCGCACTCCCGAAGTCGCTCCAGCATGAGGAAGTTCGTGTTGAATCTAGTCTCCCCTGCTGGGATCAACTCCAATGGCCTCCCGTCTTTGATATATAACTATGCCCTATACTGCCTCCCAGTCCTCCGGAACAACGCTCACGGCCGCTGATGTCGCTGCTGTCTCTTGATGAAAGTTGTGATCTCCCTGCCCTGCACGATCACCTTCCCAATCTATGGCACCGAAGCAATGTCACACATGAGCAAGTTGCACACATGGCATGCGCATGACACCCATGGAATGCTACGGATCGCAGGGTCCTCGCGCTCAGCCAATATCTTCCTGGCAAACATGTTGACCTGTGCTGAGTCGGTGTAGATGGCGTTGACCCTATGCACCCCCAACTCCCTTATGACCTCCTCCCACATCCTTGTCAAAGTTGGGGCCGACTTATCCTTCCTCTCCATGTCCATGCTCCTCACCATGACAGCCCCCGAATCGCCGCCTGCAAGGAAGTTGATGATCGGCCTGTTGCTGGTCGTTGTTGTACCATCTGTCATCAAGGTCAAGCCTATGACATCCCACGGCTCACGGATCACGTCCAAATCTTGATCCATGGCTTTGTACTCCATGGGAAGGGCCTTCATCCTCAAGTGCTTGTATCCTGGCAATCGCAACATCTTCCTCGATCTAGCCGCCAGGTTCATGATCCTTTCCATGTTCTTATACGAGTCATATCTCGCGGCATTGAAGGCCATGGCATTCTCAAAGAAGAAAGAGGCAACTGCCTGGTCAAACTCTTTCAGCAGCTCATCCAGAACGAAATTGTTCATGGACGACTGCTGTCCACCGGATGGAGGTCGCGGAGGTCGAGCAGCAGCTAGAACGAGACCCCGCAGGTACTCAGTAATCTCCGATTGCAGTTCAGGCCCCCTGGAAGCTGGAGCGGCAATGTCGGCGAAATATGTCGAGTCAAAACCAACACCCCCCACCACCCCAACCGTTGGACCTGTGTCAAGCCTGTCGCCTCCCCCTGCCGATGATGTATCGGGCTCCACCAATGCACCCGCTTGATCACCTGAAGCAAGATCCTGTAGATCCTCTGCGATTGGCGGACGGCCCTGTTCCTTGTAATCGTCGTCCAATTTTCCAATTATTTCACTGGGGATTGGCACCTTCTGGTGGTCCCTCCTATCCTAATCAAAGCCAGAATCTCCCCGGTGGTACGTGGACAACGGGCAGTGGGCGATGGTTCACTGTGGTGGTTCACCACTTTGGTAAGCGTGCCAATGATTTCTTTGTTGCACAGCCTGCATCGCAACCTCCACAAGCCGTGTGATGTGCCGCTCGTTACTCTCTTCCCTCGATCTGCCCATCTCCAAAGTTGCGACTTGTTGAGCGTCCTTTCTCTCTCTTCACCAGTCTCAGGCTCAAACGGTCCTCGATTCCTCACCATGGTGGTCGCAATGGAGGTAGGTGGTTGGTCGGAAGAAAGAGGAAGAAGTAGGGGGGGGGAGGTGTGTGCCTGCTGCCCAGCGATGTTTTGAACATAAAAAAAAAAGTGGAGGTGGGTGGTGGTAGGAGGAAGAAGAATAAGTAAAAGATGGTGAAGAAGAAGAAGAAAATGTAGAAGAAGATGGAGAGAAGATGGACAAGAAGAGGAAGAGGAAGAAGAGGAGGAGGAAGAAGAAGAAGAAGAAGAAGAGGGAGAAAAAGGGGTGCGAGGTGTGTGTCCGCTGCCCAACGATTTTTCGAGAAGGAAGAAGAAGAAGAAGAAGAAGAAGAAGAACAACAACAACAACAACAACAAGAACAACAAGAACAACAAGAACAAGAAGAAGAAGAAGAAGAAGAAGAAGAACAAGAAGAACAAGAACAAGAAGAAGAAGAAAATGTAGAAGAAGATGGAGAGAAGATGGACAGGAAGAGGAAGAGGAAGAAGAGGAGGAGCGCTATGTTGCACGCCCGGCAGCGGCCGGGGGGGGGGGGAATCGGCCGCGGCCTCGGCCGGGGGGGGGCCAAATCGGCAACAAGAAGAAGAAGAAGAAGAAGAAGAAGAAGAAGAAGAAGAACAACAACAACAACAACAACAACAAGAAGAAGAAGAAGAAGAAGAAAATGTAGAAGAACATGGAGAGAAGATGGACAGGAAGAGGAAGAGGAAGAAGAGGAGGAGGGCTATGTTGCACGCCCGGCCGCGGCCAAGGGGGGGAAATCGGCCGCGGCCTCGGCCGACGGCCAAATCGGGCAGGTTCGGCCTCGACCAACCAGCCAAGTTCGGTGCAGGATTTTTATTTTTTTTCTAACGCATGAAAAAAAAATATATATATATATATATGGGCGTGTAGGGCTCAAAAAACCCTACACGCCCATATTTTTTTGGGGGGCATTGTTGTTTTCTATTGCGTAACAAAAAATAAAAAAAAGAAAAAAAGAAGAAAACAAAAAACCGCTTCGAAACCCCGCCCAAGTGTGTGTGTGTGTGTGTGTGTGTGTGTGATCGGGCGGGGGTAGGGGGGGCGACCCCTCCCCCATCAATCAATCAATCAATCAATCAATCAA